TGTAATGACTGCTTCAGAAGAAAGAAAGGTATAAATATGAAATAAATTATTTGTTGGAAATTACTTATTCATAACATTACTTTTGTGAATGATAATAATTGAGTAACAACAACGATTTTAATTTATTTTGTCAACGATAATATTTATAGTAACTATCAGTTTTTTGAATATCAAATGATGCATTATTAACACTATGAAATGAGTTTAAACACATTTTGCTATTATTGTCAAAAAGCATTGAATTGTTATTGTTATTTTTAAGAATGTTTACAAATGAATGTACTGGATATAATCACATATGGTAAACAATGAAATAAATATTGCCTTTAATAGAGGAAACATCGCCACCAACATTTTTATGATTCTGTTATTATTAATATTACTACTGTTGATAAGAGTACTGGTCTTGGTATTAACAACAGTAGTTTTTCAAAATGTGAAAAAAATACTAATAAGGAATTGTAATAATAATAATTCCATTGTATAGAGTATAATTTTAACACTACCTAATTTTACTAGAAGTTTTGCAAAATGAATGTTGGAAAGCACTACACAGGCATTAATAAATAATAATCCCAGCTGAAGTTTCGACCAGCATTCTGACCTCACCTTAGTGCAAGTTTTCTCAAAGTTAAAGAAAAGTCTTTTAATTACCAAAAAAAAATTTTTCTTAATTAAATAGTTTTTGCATGTTTGAACACAATCTTTAAAAAGTGACCATCTGGCATTTAAATTCTCTTTGAATGGATAGGTATTCGGAATGTTTGCACTGACTTCTTGAAATTCTATGCATCATAATATGAAATGTCTTATTAAAATAATGAATCTATTTTGAAATTAATTCAATTTAATCCGTATCAAAAATTTGGCGTTCAAAAATTTTTTTTTGCGTTATTACTATTTTACTCAAAAAATAAAATTGTCTTCACAAATGTTAAGTACTGAGACTTCTCATCAGTTATCTAAAAATTATCTTCCTTTTTATTGAGAGTCATAAAATGATTACAACTTAAGAAGTCGTCATTAGCCAATTTCAAAATGTTAACGTTCCAAACAAGAAGCCAGACTGAAATTCTAACACTCAGTACTTCAGCTTCAATTTATAGCTACGAAAATTCACAAAAATTGAATTTTTTGGATAGACTGCAACGAATAAGGATGACTGACTTGTAATTTACTTCATAGACGGAAAAACATAAATAAATTAATAAGTGAAGTCCATATTAAGAAAAGTAAATTAAAATTGCGATGCATGAACGAAAATGAAAATTCTTAAGTCTCAAGTAGAGCTAACTTTGCAAATTGTAAATTATTTGCACAAAAACAGAAATTTGAAGGAAGTGTTTGCTGTAAAAATTTTTCTAGCAGATTTTTCTTGTGAAAATGTCAGATCGAATTTACTAACTTTTCTAAGAGTTCAACCAGTCTTATTTTAAGTTACTGACAAACATCACGTGGGAAAATTCAGCTAAAAACTCTTTCGTAACGAACATAATAGTAAATTAGTCAACAATGAAATAAATAGAAGAATGCACAAATAACTAGACAAATGCAGCTTTCTCAAGGTAAATGAACAACTTCTCAAATAATGAGCAGTCATAAAACAGCTAAAAATAATAATCAGTTGAACAATTTATTTTAGAGCGAAAATTGACAGAATGGCCATTTTTGATAGGTGTTTATTATCTCAAAAAGATATACTAATTTTAAACGATATTTGAAATAAAATAGCAAAATTATACTAGATAATAACTAAGACTGTTCCCCACCACTCTGCGGCTAACTTCATACTTACCTTAAATACTGAAGTAATGAACAAATAAACGGTCAAGCATCGATCTAATCATGCAAACATCGAATTTTCTTAAAGTCAACACAAAAAGTAAACCTAGCTATGAAATTAGTGAACAAAAATAGAAATTGATCACTGATAATTAATGATAATTTTTTTGTTATCATTGATCAATAATTAACGTTTATCATTGCATATTTTGTCTATATATTTGTCTACAATAGTTAAATAAAAAATAATTTTGCTATCAGTAATTTATTTAAAATAAGCAGTTCTCTGGTAATGTAAAAACAACTTTTATCAATGGCATAACTTTATTATTTTCAGTGAAACATTCTCTGTAGAGTCAAAAATTATAATTTTAAATATTTCATATATTACACTGTAATACAAATTTATCTTCTTCAGTATTTTTTGTTTACTGCTCGGTGCTATTGCTATTGTTTATTATCTTGCTTTAGTTATTTAATGCTATCTCAATTTTATTAATTTCCTTTCTGTCTCTTAATTTTCATATTATGAGCATTTCTTAGCCTCCAGTCAGCGAATATTAATTTGCCACCTTTTTGACTTTCAGTAGATCATTTATATGTAATCTCAGATGAAACTTTTATTGTTAATACTTAAATTATAAACAAACAGCTCACTTCTGAGATGCTTATTTCTGCTATAATTTGTAGCACTGCTACCAAAAATAATCTTTGTATTACAACGATGAACTGAATTTCAAGACGTCTAGCATAACTGAGCACAATACTCACTTTTTTTTCAGGATTTTTGCAAAGAAAATATTTATAATATTTTGAAAAAGACATTATTGACCCATTCAAGAAATTTCTATAAACTTTATACTTAAAAAACAAAAAGTCGTAATGTCATCTCTGAAAAGCAATAATGAAGACAAATTAATTGATTCCGTATGTCCGAATAAATTTTCATACTTTCAAAAAAATTTCAACAATTTATGCATAATTGTTTATTTTTCAGTTGAAAAAGTATTCTTTAAGTGGTTTACAAACGTCAATAAAAAATCTCATTTTGTTTGCAGTACGTGCAAGAAAAAACTTTGATACGAATCACACTTTTAGCATTAATTTGAGCTGACGTTAAAATTAATCAAAATCAATTTTACCAAATATTTTGCAAATTTTTCCGTACCAATTTGTCTTTGTACTGCAATCAAATTCGCTCACCCTTCTGTCTTCCAAATTATCTCTCTGTAATTCCGTTTGCCCACTTACATTTATGTTAGTACATCGTAATCCTCAAATGTTTTCAAGTTTGATACTTTCTTGTTCAGTTAACTTGGCGTGAAAAAACAGCTTCTTTGCTGATAAAAAGGTCTCACTCTATTCTGAGATACTGGTAAGCTATCAAAATTCTTAACTTCATGCGCAAAGACTCAATGACGAAACTGAGCACTAAAGAAAAAGTGAACACATTGATCAAATTCTTTAGCATTGTTTCGTTTCGACAATTTTATATTTATAACCAAATATTCTTTGCGTTATAAATTATCGAAACTGAACAAATATTGTTAAAGTAAGCCATTCTGACCAGCACAAAAGACCGCAATGTCAATTCAATGATTTTATCTTGTAAAAGAATTGTAAGTTATTACGTACAGTACCTAACTTTTGTTATATTGTGTACAAAAATCGTTTTTAGCTTCGCTTAACGTTTATTGCTTAATTTTAAAATTAACACACAGGTTTGATTATTTTGACGCAGTAGCGAACTTTAGTATTTAACAAAAATTGTGTGAATTATAAACAGCCATTTTTATCATTATCGTTAGCAGCAACCATCACAGTTACTGTCAACCTTGTTCAAAGTGAAATAATTTTTTGTTTAATCAATTTGCTTTCCCACATTTCAAATCAGCCATACATGATTTGCTGATATCAATCAACTTTAACGAATGTAACTTTGTCAATGAAAGCCAAACCACAAGTGAAAATTTGATGTATAATACATCATTTATAAATCTAAAATTCATTCAGATGTTCATCAAAATTATGAGCATGAAAGAAAAGCAGTTTTGCATCAGTAATTTGAAAAAAAAACAAGCCTTTGTCTGCTACCACGTATGACAACAACGTATGAATTTAAAAGTTAAAACTCGAATTTCGGAGAAAATTTTCTGTAAATAAAAATGCATTGTTGAAATGCAATATTTGGTAAAGTTATTGAGAATATACTGAAACAAAATGAAACTAATTTAAGATAGCATTACTTTGGCGAATTGTTAAGGAAAGGAAATACTCATATCAATGGTACAAAAAGATACCATGCGCAAATTGAAATCCTTTAGGTGAGATCAGAGGTCAAAATTACCTTGAACCAGTTAAAAACATACATACTTATGAAATAAAACGTCATAGAAATATTTCTATCATTATTAAAACTTAACAAAAGCTTGAAACTTCGACTACTTATGAAAAATTCTGTCATTTCGACAAAATATTTCTTTCAGAATTTTTGTTTTCTTCGTAACAAAAACAAATACAAGTGTAGGCAAAATTTGAGAATTTTTTAGTAAACTTTTTATGTGGTCAAATTTTGTGGCATTTTTGTGTGTCATAATGCAAGATTAAAATTTGCTTGCAAACTTTGTTGCAATCATTTCTTTTTATATGAATAAATGGATGAGCTTTCAGTAGTGCACCAAAGTCATCAGATTTGAACTTTATTTTCTGACTTACAACCTTTTTGAGAAACTGAAGATAGAAGAAGGTTTCTACTTAAGTGCTAAACCAAATGTCTAATGAAATTTTGTTGAAATTTTACCATCTTATTATTTCTTGAGTTTCATCGCATACATTACTAACATTTTTCCATATATGTTTTTCAGTTTGAATTAAAATTTGCAATTTTTATTGTTTTCAGAAATAGCTTAGTTCTTCAAAATTATTTTCACGCCTTAGAAAAAACTCGGCAAAAACCAAAAACGCAAAAACCATAAAATATTTTTTTAATTTTTAAGAAATTTCAGTTTTGTACATATTTTCTAAAAAACTAATAATCCATAAAATGAATGTAATCAAGTCAATTTTCAAAAAAATACGAGGTCATATAGAACACGAGGTCATATAGAATATTAGTGATAAAATCACACCGATTTTATCACTAATATTTACCAGAATATCATTTCCATATTTTTGATTATGAATGAAATAAAGAAATCGCAAAAAGAAATTTCTTAAAATTAAAATTTTAGACTTACCGATACAGTTGAGTGTTTTTCATTTGATGCAATCATATTTGATAACGCTGAATTACATCTTGTAGAAGTAGAATTAAGGGCAGAATCTTCGGGTCGAGGAAAACATGATCGTGACATTTTCAGTTCATTGTTATAAGTAGATGAAAAGCGTTGGCAAACTCCATAACCTGTATCTGCTGTTAGTGATTGTTTAGGAGTAGTAATATGCAAATTTTGAATTTTGTCCCTATGATTTATGCAAAATTTCCGAGTTTTATCGATCGGCGTCATATTTTTAGCTGAATCAGAATTTCTACATTGTTGGCGGACAACTGATGATGATGGATAAGCGAGTGCACTGCGTGAAGCCGTAAAAAATTTTGCACTTTTTGCAAATGAAATTTTTGGGGTAAGACTTTGAGATTTTACAACAATCGGTGTATGCATTTGAGTAAACTGATGTGATATTACCGCGGATCTCTTAGTTTCAGCATTAGATGCTGAAAGATGAGAATAGTGCTGTTTTGCTAAACGTATTGTGGGTGTATCTATTATTTTAATGTTACGTGAGAAAGTTTTTGCTCGATATAATGGAATAGAAAAGATTCCAGGGATTTCACGATGTGTACAGGAGACTTTGCTACCAGTATTTGACAATAAGATAGAATGTAAATCATTGCACGGCTTCTGAATAACCACAGCAGCATTACTTGTGACGAGAGTAGCGTTTGTTTTCGGAAGTTCAAACTTGACACGTTTTTTCGCTTTCTTCATATGAATAATAATAAACTCTAATGTGGAATAATTTCAGTTTAAGGACTACTCAGATCACATCACTTGAAATAATACACCAATTAGCAAGAAGAAGATGAGACAGTTGGTGACGAGAACGGAGTTTAACGGAACCTTCGCATCCGAAAGTCTGTCATCATATCCTGCGGTCTCGCGGTGCTTTTATTTCATCAAGAGAAGTCTCGCTTTCTTCTGCCCTTCCAACCCCCTCCTCCTTTTCCTGCAAAACGACTCTTGATAAAAAAAAAATTTTAACTCAACTGAGTTTACTTGGCTAATGAAGTTAGTGAATCAGTTTCAAAGGATAGCTATTAATTAAGTGTAGCTCTCTCAGGTTGCGTTGAATGTTATTTAAAACTGTGCAATAAATTATTTATCGGTAGTTAATAATGGCAGTAAACTTGAGAGTTAATGCCTTTTACAGTAATATTATAAATAGCATTACTTTTTACAGTAATATTATAAAATAATATTATGAATAGCAAAGTATTACTTTTGCTACGAAAGTGAAATTAAAATACTCAACATCTCAATATCAAATCAGCTCAGTTGCTTACTAATGCCTGCAGTAGTAATGAAATCATGGAAGCATGAAACCAAAAAATAACCTATTAGCACATAATATATTTGCAATTTACGAGCAAATTATATGTCTTAATGCGAGCAAATATTAAACGTCAGTTCTAAAACAGTATTTTGAAAGCGAAAGAATTAACTCGAAAATATGTGAATTTAGTCACAATTAAGATCGTTTTCAAGTAAGCAAGGTGTAAAATTTCGAACGTGAAATGACGCAAATTTTCAAAAACAGTACTTTCCATGAGCACACATTTTTGGTTCAAAAAGTACGAAATATTTAAATATTCGGGTTGTGGTATGGACGAACAATCAGTGCTAACATTTCAATAGCTGTATTCACTGCAAAATACAATTAATTTGTCATAAAACGTTGAAGAAATAGTAGAAACGACAAATAAGCATCACTTTCTTAACGTGAAGAAAGGAGCAAACCGGATTATCTTAATGATTTCAACTGTTTTTGCTAATTACATGAATTCTGATAGAAAATAATTTTACAAGGAAAATGTACGTAGTAAAAAATTGAAAATGAAAGCGTACGTCACCTTTTAGAAAAATTATTTGCTTTATCACTTATCAAATATGATTAAAATCAGCAAATTTATCTGCAAAATATGAAATTAGAATAAGATTTGAAGAGATTTGTACTTAATTAAAAAAAGAAAGCTGCTGGGAGATAGAATGAAAATCAACTCGAGCTAGTACACTGAATAAGTTTTCGTTGTATAAAAATTGTAAAGAAATTTATATGCAAATTTAACGTTTGAAATGCTAGATAAAGTTATAATTTTAATTTTTGTGGAGTACAACTGAAAGTTTTCAATGAAAAAGCTGAAAATTATACAAATAAGACCTGCATAGCATTTACGTGAAAAGAGCAGTTTGCATCTTAAAGTCTGTTTGATTCAAAATTAGTAAGAAATATAAGTAAGAATGAATGTTTGTTGAAAAACGCACAGTTTTGATCGAAATCACTCACATCAGAAAACTTTTCAACGAGAATTGAGCACTAAAAAGGCGATCGATCACTTTGACATAAACATTTCAGAGCGAAATAATTTTCATCTTTTTAGTCTCTAAGTAAATGGTTAAAGAACATTTAAATTGTAACTTTTTGCAGTCAAAAATAAAATGCGTTTAAAGTCAGAATAGTGAAGAAACAAAGTAATTTCTGCTGCTTTTAAGGTTTCAACTTTGTGAAGGGAAAGGTTAAGATCAAAAAATGACAAATATTTAATTGGCAATATTATTCCACCAATGCCAATGCCAATGCCAAGAAAGTATTTTCCACAAGACAAACAAGCAGAAAATTTTTATTTGAAGTAAGAAGGCTTTTTAAGAGAACGACATTGACTTTTGTTCTGTTGTACTTTTTGTTGATGCGTTCTGTTTTGGAGAAACAAACCTGTTTCAACCAATCATGAATCCTTCCTTTTTCACGCAACTTGCAATAAATTCAAGAGCTGGATGAAAAAAAATAAGGTAAGAATCAGTTTGAATCTAATTAGCTGAAACGATTCATTGTCTACATTCTAGACATTGAACAAAGTGAAATCAATCTGTAAAATCGACCAGTACAAATCACAAAGTGTCAGCAAGTAGATGTTGTTTGACTTGATAAATTCACTAAATCGGGTAGATTATTGTCCTCGGCATTACTGTCTATGCAAGTGCTAAGCTTTTCAGACAAAAACTAATTAACAATTCTTGTTCAAATAATTTCATTAATGGCACAATCATAGATAGTCTTATCTCATTAGTAATAGTATTATTGTGGGAAAAAGTAATATTACAGTCTTAATGATTTTTATACATAATAAAGCTATTCTATTCATAAATTATCAGAATATATGAATCAATCGCGAAGATGACATATTTACACCAGTAAAGACTAGCAGAGCAAAACAACGAATATGACCAAAAATATTTTATTAAATTTAGAAAATGATTTGCACTGACCTATTTGAGCATGAAAATACAAAAAATTTGACTCCAATTTTCGCATAAGTGCTCTATCATTGTTAGTTTCAAAAAAAGTGGTTTAAATGAGTTTTAATCTCTGAAAATTGAAGATTTTCCAGGCGGTTGGGAGACCATAACTTAATTTATTACTTCAGAAATAAAATTTTTTGCTCGTCTTTTTCTCCTAACTTCGATGTGTTTTGCATATTTAGTATACATTTAATATGAGATCACTGTAAACACTTCGTAAAAGCCTTAAAAAAGTTTGAAGAAACTGTGAACTTTTAACGAAAATTTTGCTTTAAACTGTTCTCGTCAATATTTTCATGAAGTTTATTTTTCACACAATGATAACAATTTATGTCAAAAATTAATCGGAGACACCTAAACTTTTGAACTTTGACAAACTTTCATTTTCATATTCAGTTCAATTTCAGTTACAGTTTGAATTACAATTTACTGAACAATATGCTAAAAATTAATTGCAATTTTACGATAAAAAAATTTACGCCAATCGTTTTTTCAATATAGTACTTCTTTTTTTTTTGTTGAAATTCATGAAATCTTCAAAATAAGCAAGCAAATAAGCAATATAAATCACTTACAATATAAATCAATATAAATCACTTACATTAATTAGCAGATATTGCTAATAAATTAATGTTGATCGAACTTGAAGATTTACTGGTGGTTTTTTCCTAGCAAAATAAAGGTAAGAAATAAACCTTAATCACAGTAACTACTGAAACTTTGCTAGCTTGAATCCATTTTATGAAGCTACCAAATTTATTATGAATTCTATTACCACTGCACGAGTTGGTTTGGCAGAAGGAACAAATTTATGATTCTTAAAGATATTTCAAACAATTTCTTTTCTTTTCCCATTTCTCTTATAGAATCATTGAAGTCATTAATAAAATAGAATAGAATTAAAAACGAACAATTGTAAGTGCGGAAAATAAATTGAAGTGAGATTTAATTAATCGAAACAAAATAATTTTAATTGGTTTAGACTGGAATAAATTGAAATGTAATAAAATAGATTAACAGTTACAGTACGGAACTGAGCGAAAGCAATATGTAATACGACGGACAATAATAGGGCATACACATTGCAAAAGTTTATATGTACGAAAAAACTGCTCAAAAAATTGTAAATTTTGGCATCAAATGTCACAAAAATCAGTGAATTTTATGTTTCGTTGCGCAGGAAAGTATTCTTTTTTTTTCAGTACTGCGAACCTCTTTTTGATTGCAAAATTTTACCATTAACGATTCTTAAATTAAGTACTGAAATTAAACGCGAAATGAAAGCATTTCTCAAAAAAAAGTTTGGCCGTAATGACTGATTTCCAATCGCTGAACTAATTCCAACAATATTGCTAATCTAATGCGTGCACGCAAAAGAGTTGCTCCTATGAAATCATCAAATTCATTCCTGCTACAGTTCTCGGTGTTGAAGCAGTTTTGTCTTTGTACAGTTATTTTGAATAATTATCAATTTAAAATTTTTCATATTTTTCAATTTACAGTTTATATTTGTATTATTATTTTTCAGTTTCTACTCCATACTTGTTGTACAAATATTATCAGTGAAATATCTGAGACATAACCCTTTCACTAAAAGATCATTCATAATTACTTCATCTCCACAAACGATTATTAGTAATCCTTTTCGAGGAATATATCGAAGTAACAGAAAAATAGATTTAATTCTCAACCTTATAATTATTATCTACCAGCAGTTTTGATAGGCTAGAAATAATATACAAGTATGAATTAGAAATTGAAAAAATATGAAAAGTGCAATGTTGAATATAGAGTTAAGCAAATACAATCATATAAATTAATGAAATTAAGATAAAAATTTTGAAAAATATTACAGCATGATTCTGAGTTTTGCTAAACAATTGCAGTTTTTGACTTAAAAGAAATGTTTAAAAAGGAATAATCTTGAGATTGAAAATGGAAATCATTTCAAAGACTTTTATTATTAACTATAATTATTTTCACTAATTATTACTTTAAAATGAAGATTACGGAAAAAATGTGTTCTGCTATTGAAATTGATAATTATTGCTGAGCAACGCCAGAGAGTCTGCAGATTATTCTAGCCATTACCATTCAGAAGCCTTTTTCTTACCTTAGAGTGAAGCAATCAAGGAATACTTGACGTACTTGAAAAGGTATAATCAAAAACTAAGCCCACCACTATTTTTTAGCCTGTTTATGGAACAAGCAGTAATTCATCTAAATCTCCGTGAAGGCATATATTTTATCTGATGATACATAGACAAATTAACATTTAATTACTCGCTGCTCGTCATATATCATCAATATAATTCTATATTTGTTGCCTTCAGTTCTTGCGACATGCATATTTATCAGCTTCTTGACAATTGCTTTCACATCCAAATTTTTGCAAACAAATATGGATCTGGAACTAATACCCACTTTCGAAAAAATCTTCTCCCGTCTTTGCTTTCAGAGTTAATTTTCAAATTTGTATGTTACAGATAAGAAAAGTTACGCAAGCCAACAGTACAATTCAAAAACCACTCATAGCTAAAGTCCCAACAATTCTAAGTTTTCGCTTTCTCATCATTTCAAATGGGTAGATCGCTTTCATAGAAATACCACGAAAACTGCAATTTTAGAATCGCATTAATCTAACCTGATAAAATTTCAAACTGCTACATTTAATTTAGGATGTATAACAAATGGCATATATTTACACACTTTTGTACAGTAAGTTGCGGTGTTTCCTGCATCATTCTTTTTAATTTATGCTTTGAACAGAATATCTTTATTACTTATTCTTTGATAACATACCTTCAAAAATATTTACATATATAGTGGCACCCACAACAGTTATTAGGAAAAATATCATCATAAAATCATCACCCAGAAATTCATTTGACATGGGCGACACTGAAAGTATTTATTTTCTTATGGAATTTGACTTGATCAATGTATTTCCGATGTATCGAATTTCAGACTTTATCCCTTTAAAAATTTTCTATTAATTACGAATAATTGAGAATAACAAGATGTACTCAAGAATCTTAAGAACATAGGAAGATATCAAGTATCCCAAGTAAATTTGCATGATTTTTGAATGCAATTAATTACAAAAAAGTAATCTTCGTCTAATGCTTCATGAGTATTCTTGCATGAATTTCTTATGGAATTTTTTAAATCGTTCCAACATATCTTGCATTACATTTGGTGGTGGCAGTATTGTTGTTCTGAAATTGGCACATGAAATAGTTCAGTCTAACTGTTTGTATAAAAACCAAAATCAAGCGCACTTCATCTTAATTTCGAAAAACTAAAATGAGGTAGGAAATTCAAGAAAAATGAGTTGAACCGAAAATGATATGTTCCAGGTAGCTGTCCGAAACCGCTTCCAGGTACTACACAAATACCACTGTTTTCCAGTAACTGCTTCGCATAGAAAAAGTCTGCTTCCACATTCAGTGCCTATAAAAGAAATTTTTTTCAAGTATTCAGATCAAAATCAAGTATTGAATGCAGTCAGAGTATGAGAAAAGCAATTAAAAACATTGTTATGAAATGTTATTTAATATTTATAAAATATGAAACTATTATTTTGCACACTTACAAAATAATACATCAGAGATGTCCATGACAAATTTATATTAGTATCTCAAGAAAAAGAACAGTCTTAAAAAATACAAACAAATACGAACCTTGGCTTGTTCAATAGCTTTTGGAGGTATTTCAATGAGTGGGAAAGCGTACATTGCACCTTGCACGGGGTTACATTTAATTCCTTCAATGGAATTATACGCTGCGTGAACTGCTCTTGCACGATCTTTCAGTGACTTTAATACCGCCGTTTTTTCCTACAAAATTTTATCTTTGAACGCTACAATCATCTTAATCAATAACTTTTAATCTCCGGAAAAGCAAGAAAGCTGGTAAAACTTGAAAACCTGCCGCTACTTAAACTTAGTATAACTGAATATAGAGAAAATAATTTAAATGCCAATGAATTTAGCACTGTAGTAATTTTTCTGAAAAAAGTACCTTGTACCATAAATCATATGATGGTTCTCCAGATTTAGGTGGCTTTACTACACAATCCATCGCACACTGCAAAACAGCAAAAACATACATAATAATTAACTATATTCTGGAACAGAAGTGTTTACCCTACTTAAAATATTCATTTATAGTTGAAATCAATATCTCGATGATCAAAACTGTTGAGAAGCGAATAAAGAGAGCTAAGTTAAGTTTTTAAATTTAGAATCACTTATGAGAGAATTTGAAAGTTTTTCATTTCAGATCCAGCAAACTATTTAGCTTGAAACCTGTCCAAGAACAGAGGGGCAAAGTTTCGCTGAGATCATTTTTTGTAAGTGGGAAAAAACATGAGGATCCATATTAACAACTTCAACATATCCTCCTCGAATACCACATTCACCCATATAACCTTTAGAACATGAATGAAATGAACACAGTTCCATCCTAAAAATTCGAAATCTCACTTTAACATCTGGAGTAGTAAAATAAAATGCAAATCTTGGGATTAGAAAGAGGCAAACAAAATAAAAAATTATGTGCTGTACGTGCAATAACGCTTAAATTTCATTAACCTTGAATATGGTTCACCCATAGAAGTCATTACTGCCTTGAAACTGTGGAATTTGCTGCTCTCTTCGTAAATATTGTCTTGATATACCTGAAAATATAAAAAAGCATGATCTTAAAAAGTTCAAACCATTCACCACGACCATTCATAGCTATAATAACAACAACTTTTCCAAGAATGAAAGAATTGTACAAACTTTCGGATTTCCATACAGTCAAAAGTTCACTACTTTAGACGTATATATATATATATATATATGCGTGCTCGAAAATTAATGCAGAAAGAGAAAAACTCACTTCATCAGCTAACAAAAATAGTCCATGCTTGAAAGAAAATTTGATAATATTTTCCACGTTATCTCTTGATAAAACTTGTCCTGAGATTATTTAGAAATCAATATTTTAGTATTTCTAATAAATTTCAAAATCAAAAAATATCGAAAATAAGACCTTAATACGGAAAATAAAGTAGAGGAATTTCAGCTCATTCACAGTAGGAAACATGGATTCGCGGAATTCAACTAAAGCAAAACAACGAATGTTGGCATTTTTTTATTTATATGTTGTTATACTCTTCAATTTGTTTTATGCATGAAAAATAACTGGCATAAATTAATTTGATTTCCAAGTAATCTGAGCTTAAATCGTTTCTTCATCATGATTCAATTTACTGTCCTAAACATGGTTCAACGAAATTTAGTCTCTAATCCCTTAGAACTTAAAAGACTTCAGTCATGAATGCATTTTTATTTCAAGACTTACATGATAAGTCAAGTTACTTACCTGTTGGATTCCCAGGATTGATTACGCAAAGCACTCGAGTGTCAAATTTTTTTAATGAATCTTGATATGCTCGTTCAAGTTCATCAATATTTAGTGCCCAATTATTACTTTCGTCCAAATAATATCCTACCTAAATAGTTTATTTTTCAAGAGTTCCTTGAAGAATTTCTGGATTAGAGATAAAGGTGTAGTGTTTGAACTGTTTTTATTTTATATGATTGTTAACTAACCAAGCCAAGATCGAATTCAACAATGGAAGCAGAATACAATGGATACTGTGGAATTGGTATCATAACTCCAGTCTTTTTTCTATTATTACTTGAATTAACGAACAATTTCAAGATATTCTGTAATCCGATTAAAAAGAATAAGAGAAACGATAATTCTAGAAATTAAATGCAAAATTTATATGTTCTGGAACATACTTTTGTAACTATTTGACTATAGTTTTTGAGAAATATAAAATGTCAAGCATTTGCATATCAGATAAAGTTGATCTACTAACAGCTACATTAGTTGAACGGTAATGGTTTGTCAAGATATTAAGACAGCGAATGAAATAAATATTTGAAATCCTTACGCGTATACTTTCGGATGCTCCAGAAGATAATATAATTGTGGATGGATCAGAAGCAATACCACCATCTCTTTCAGTGATGTAGTCAGCTGCATGCTTCCGGATTATTTCTATACCATTGCTTTGACTGAAGTAAATTACTGCTACCATCATGAACAATTAGACTGTTTACAGTCTTAAGATATGCTCATTCTATACACAAAATGTACTTTTATATATTTTAGTCATGAACAAAAGTGAATTTAACACTTAAAATATTACTGTTTGATTGACATTAAATTCAAATTTGGGTTTACCTGTACGAACCAATGCTGCCCCCACCGCACCCTTTAAGCAATAGTTTTGCACGCTCTTTCACATCAGAAGGATAATCTGACGATGTTATCAAAGACGGATCAGTAATGCAGGACAAAACCTAAAAACATTTAAAATGAGCTTTGGAAAATCAAAAAATCTATCTTCGATTTTTTGGTCGATAATTAACTGACACGATTAACATAGCGAGAGATCATGTTGTTGCTGGCTTTCGTAGTATTCTTATATAAATGTAAAGTTCTATTTCCTGCCTCCTGTCATATATCAAGTTTACTGCTTACTAAAAAGCATCCTTCTTTATTTTTTTCACTATCATTTTTTAAGTCTGGAAGCGATTAGTTGGGAAACTATCAAGTGAAATTTGGATTAACTCAAGCGAAATAAAAGTTAGAGGCTTATTTTCAGACAAAGTCTGCAACAGCAAAACAATTTGATTGATTCAGCCCGCCAGAAATGCAGAAAATAGAGCATAGATGTGCAGCTACTACTGTATCGTTCTTTAGATAGATAAATAAAATAAGCATTGTTAGACCAAGTTTGTTTTACCACTCATACCTGACGTATAAAGCTGATTGGTTTCTGACCCATTGCATGAGCATCACCAATATTTGCTTTGATAACACTGCTGAATGGTTTTTTCGCTCCCTGAATTTTAATAACAATCGATACTTGATCACTGAACATAAATACTGTTTGGTGATAAATTCTGATTAAACTGTATCATCATAGATTGTCTTTGCAGAGTTACTATTTTCTAATAAATACCGATTTCCCCTATATAGACTCTTCTCAGTGCCTTTATCAGTTACATCTGTGCTTATGTCCAAAAATCTATCAGTAACTTCATAACCTTCGTAAAGTAAAACAAATACAAGGCTAGAATAGCAGGTACTGCTCAGTTACTATGAGAATAGTTTACAATCAAGCAAAGCAAATTAGTAAAGAAACGGATCTATCCTTAATCAATCGAAGAAGTCACCTTTGATTTCCAAACTAATTCACTGACGAAGATGCTAATGAAACTTAATTGACATGTCTGTTAATTAAATATCTAACTTTTTGCATTTTATATGAAGATAGAAGAAAAAAGTGCATGCAACTCCTTTAAACATTATTAAATTTAAAATTACAGCGAAACAAGCTTTATCCCGCTTTATTTAATCTGTCCTGACTTGGAAAATGTCAATTTAGCAACATAAAACGTCACTAAATCTAAACCGTGAAATAAACGTCAGTAGAACAATTAAACTTGCTATTTCACGTTAATCATTGTTTATAATATTGAATTTTTTGCGCCTCGGCACAAAAATATTTCACAAAAATCCTAAACTTGTTCACTTAAATTTTAATATCATTCCATCATTTAAAAATGAAATTTCAACATTGACAAAATCAATTTCTTTACAAAACTTAACGAAATATTTAATATCAAAGCAGAACAAACTTTTTCAAGCTCTTTTTCAATCGCTAATGCACGGATTACCAAGGGACCACGCACTGCATATTCCATGCTTGCAACATTAGGGTTTATCGTTTGCAACGTGAGTACATGTTTCTCTGAATTCATTATGCGATGACGCAACTGATTTAACGAGCGTCGACTCCAGAAAGTGGACACCAAATGTGACACTGGACCGAGAAATCTCACGGCAGCATATGCCCTTCCGATTGCAATGCTCCTCATTCTGATATTGTATGAAAGTTTGTTCACAAACTTTGAATATTAACAAAATGTTCAAATATTTAATTTGCATATTTAAAACACTACTAAATATACATGTAAACTGCCACTCGACCACTTATCTGCTAACGAATATTGTCGCAATTTCTCATATATTGAAGAGAATTTTAAGTTTCTTTTTCCCGAATCAATTAAATTATCGTTCATAAACAAGCGAAATTACTTCATTTTCTAACTAGAGATTGCTTTTTCTGATTATTCTTGATGTAGCAGTAAAGAAACTACATGAAAATGAAACGGTTCAGCCATATAAAATCTTTTCAGATCACAAATATTTCAAATAATTAATTAAAATTTGTCTGATGCATAGATCAAAGAGCATAAGTACTGTTATTAGTGGTTCAAGAAAAAATAGAAAGCTAATTGAAACGAAAGATTCTAATCATCCGAAATAAATATGTCAAAAAGCTGATAACACATCAGTAAGATAAAAAATTAGCGAAGTTTGTAGACGATCAAATTATTGATAACAATATTCCTATTGAAGTCAAATAACTTGATAAATGGCTTGCATCAAACAGGAAAATAATTTGCTACTAACTCTTTCTAATAAGTATTCCGATTCCCAAGTTCATCTGCCAGAGTAATTTTTTAGAAGCAAAACAACGAGAAGTAGTACTGTTTACCAATGTTTAACCGATGAAAATCGGTTCTTAGACAATACTTTTTCAAATGCAATAAACAGAGGAAAGTATATACTAGTATTGCTAAATTTTCAATAAATTGTTCGGGAAAAAACCCTACAAGCTATTTTCAGTAAACTAAATACGAGCATATGCATATATTTATATTGATCTGAAAAAAATGTGACACAAAAAACGACTTGCTAAGTGAAGAAAGATACATATCGACTGGCGCAAAGATTACATGCAATCTCGAAAAACTGCTTACCATATTTAGTCTTCCAGTCGGTAGTGCAATGTGGAAAGTAATTTAAAGCTAAAAGTGTGAATCGACGTGGATCGGAAACTAATGACGATTTTATTGTGTACACTTTTATTGAGAAATAAAAGATATGCAATTGTAATTAATTTGCAATGCGAAGAATTAGTAATCCGAAATGAACAATTTGAAAAAAACAAATGAATTTCAAACGAAAAAAAACTTAAATCGCTACTTACTAAATTCAATAATTACGTAATATGATATAATGTTAGTGTTTTTGCAATCGGTTCTGTTTGCTTATGTGCAATTACGTTGTCAAAAATGAAGAATATTTGCAAGTTTTGGCAACAAAATACGTAAAAAATTCATAATCTATACTCAAAGGACAAATATATTAAGAAAAATCAATGAATGAATGCAGAAAAAATTACTAATTTTTAGGACAAAAATCATAAGAAAATCAGTTTGTGAATACCAAAAAATCTATCTAGCGATTGAGCTAAATCAATTTGTGAATTGGGAATTTAGAAAAACCTATCTAGATAAACAACGAGACAGTATGAGTAGGCGCATGATGAATGACAGTCAAGTTGTAAAAAAAATAATGATAACAATAATTGTATTAATAATGATAATAACAATAATGGAAATAATATTGAATAAATAAACAATAAAAATAATGATTAAAAAATAATAAATTATTATTGTTATTATTGTTATACATAGATGCATGAATAGATAGAGAGATAGATAATCAGTACTATCAATTAAGTAGTAACGACGACAACAATAAAAGGAATACATGAATTAAAAGTGAGACCAAAATAATACTGTCAGCAATGAGTATTGAAAAGAGTTGGTAATTTAAAGAACGTAATAATTAACAGACAAAAATTAACTTAAAGCAAAAAGTGAACAGCCAAATTATTTGTACAAAATGTGCTACTTTTATGTTTGCTTGTTTAGCTGCCATCGACAAAGGAAATACCAGTCGTGGCAATGAAATGTGAAATTTCTCAATGCATATTGATAATTTATCTATTATTTCATTCGGAGGAACTTACACTTACCGAAAAAATCGCTACAGAAAAAGAAAAAGTGAGAACAGAAAGAGCAGAAAGTGAAATTTAGCCGTGTTTACTTCGTCGTATTATTTACTGAAGGGAAGTATAATTTTGTAGAATAATTTGGAATTGATGAAAAAACGTAAGAAATAAAACATTTTATCAACAAGCATACAAATATGCATCGATCACGCTATGCGTTCATTCACTCAATAATACGTAATTTCTCTCTCAGAGTAACGGAAATAATGCATGATAAGGTGTTCGGGTGACGTTTGATAGAACAGTTAAGGTAGATTGGAAAGACTATGCAAGTTTAGACTCGACTAAATGCCAAGATCAAATGATCGAATGCCTAGGTCGTCACTGTGAGGTAGCCGTTGCTGGTGAGCCTAATTTTAAGATATAATAACAAGTGTAAGACTGAAAAATCGCTCGACCCTTATTTTTTGAGCACATTTTCAACCTTTTCTGAAAATACTGAGAAAAAAGAGAGGCGGTGGGCATTTGTTCGTAATTACACATTGTTTTCACTTATATCGTCAAAATGATAAAAAAATAGCAGTAAAATGTGAAAAGAGGTCGCAACGGGGTGCAATTGGTAGCAATGAATGACGCGTGGCCGCTTGCATGGTTGCTTTGAGAGGTCGACCTCATTAGTGCTAGGCGAAAAGGGACGCAATCTCCATCTATGCCACTGCCAGAGCAGATGTAAGGACTGCTTTCTGCTCGAGTATCTTATCACTCTCAATTTTCTTCGCATATGAATGCTTTTCTTTTGACCTCACTCTAACAGAACTTGACCTACATCTTTTGTCTTTTTTGTTTGTGCTCTCATTTTTTTCTCCTTCCTGACTTTTTCTCTTCCATACGAAAGCAAAATAAAAACTTCAGAGGGTTGCTCGCAATGACGCCGAAAATTGAATAATCTGTTGATTAAAGTCAGAAGAGGAATTTTCGAGATGAGATTAATTCATATGAACTAGTTGGTATACCATATGCGCAAACTGCTCTTTCTTTTCAAGAATTATCCATTTCTGCGTCTCGTTCTCGGCTGACTCAACAAAGTTATCATGGAGTAGGCATCCATTCATAACATTGCAAATATATAATTTTGCACACATTTCATTTCCTTACTTTCACTTTAGATTAGTGTGTTTTTGATATTTACAAGCATTCTGCTCCTCACGAAAACATAATTGAATGTCTATACGCAAACAGAACTGCGAAAAGGCTGTAAACACTTGGATGTCAGCTAGTTCGATCCCGAAGTACAATACTTCTAAACCCCTTCATTTCAGTTTAATTTCTGTCAGTTCTGTTGAGAATTAGTTCTGCTCACAAACAACAACGTCGAATGAAATTAATTCCATTTTCGGACGTAACTAACTTATTTTTTGTGGCTGATTATAAAATACATCTCTTTTTCGGTCAAGCCATTTTCAGCATGTCTCTAAATTTGTAATCGATTACATATGAAAAATTTAGTCAGTTGTTATTCTCTTAATGAAACGAAATACATTCTAAATTTATGGAAGCAAACAAAAATATTTTATGTTTGGTAATAATAAAAATTAATGACAATAATAAAAAGCAGACACGAGGAGTTTTACTTCTGTAATGAATTTTACAGGTTTTTTCACTTGAATTTAAAAAGTAAAGGAAGAATTTTTTAATCTTTATTAATTATTTCCCGTTTAAAGTGGATAGATCGTAAAACTGGATCAAAAGAATTAAACTCAACAGAGATTAGAGTCACTGTAAAACTTCTGAAGTTGTCATAAAACTTTAAATTTAAACAGTTTGAGCACTTCCAGATTAATATTAAATTACATTATCTGAAAAATTTTTAGCAGAGAAAAGCAACTGCAGCGATTCTAGAATATCAGGTAGTTATAACCCTAATTGGATTCTGACGTATTTACGTGAGTTGTCGTGAGCTTGTGAAATTTTCATCTAATATCACCCAAATAGTTTTTTGTTCTAATATCACCCAAATACTTCATCTAATATCACCCAAATAGTTTTGATTAAAAAATGAGTAGATTAACTTTCTCTTCGATATGTTTTCTGTTGCATACTAAAAAATTTTGTGCTGAAGCTCTGTCTTCACTCACTAAATATGAGCACAAGCATCTACCTGATGTCATTTTCCTCTCTGCACGCAACTTCAACCACAATTTTTTCACATTTAAAGATTTTCCAGATTAGCAAATGAAGATTGTTTGCTCAAAATAATAGTAACAAAACTTTAACAACAAAATTTTAGAACCTAAACATCCAGTGTTTGGTATTATAACTACATTGAAAGTTAATTTTATGCCAAAATCAATTTTCTCAAGAAATAATATATTTAGCAAAGTGAGAAACTTACCAAGGCACTCAGAGTGCCATATTTGTTATTACTTCGCTAATTGCACAGTTGAATAATGAGCGGTAATTATAGTTGAGAGAATGAATCGTTAATTCTAGCCTAAATTAATTTTCATAAAAATGAACCAGTTTAACAAAAAACTCTGAAAATGGATAAATTAAAGTTTTTAAAGTTTGAAATTTAATTCTTATTTATCATAAGAAATAATGCAAGTACAAAAAACAAAAGTTCATAACTTACAAGAAGGTTCAAAATTACAACCTTCCAGCAGTAGTTTACAGTGAAATGAGTCTCAATACTTTGCGAATCCAGACTTCAGAAGTTCGATATGTCACGAATTGTCGCCTGAAGAAGTCAAGAGAGTTTATTAATTCATTCATTACTTTTAAGACTATTTAGAGACAGATTATCAGGAATGAAATAAATAAACGCAAAAGATTACAACTTGACAAATGAATAACTGAATGCGCTACATGCCTCAAAAAGCATCTGAAAGACATTTGTGGGCAATGGCTTCTTTATATTAAATTCTAAGTGATCATAAAAGTCGGATCTCAGCAAAAATTTTTAATTTGCATAGTAAAAATGATGAGGCAAGTCAGCACTTATGTTAACGTTGATGATAAGTAATGAATCAAATACAACTGCTAAAGAATTAGTAAGAAAAAAAATTACTTCCAAGTTTGGAAGATAATAGAATGTGTATACTTTAAAGAAAATCAAAGCATAGAAATTGCCTAGATAAGAGCTATTTGAAGTTCTCAGAAGCTTAACAGAAATTTAAAAATATATTTTCAGCACCAATTATTTTGCACTAATTATCAAACTAAATTATTCTAGTAGTGTTTTGTGAAGTACATTTTATGTCTAGTTTGGATGTGATTGAAATGACCTGCAAAATCTCTAGCTCTTTTTCGACTGCATTTGATGTTTTTACTAGGACTAATTTGTGCTACTTTTAGCTTATATAATAAAGATTGTAAAAAAGTCATTTTAGTAGGAAAAAAAGTATTATGCATTTAATATGAAAACTTAGGTTCAGTATCAACCAATTTTTACTAATTTCTTAGAATAGATCAAATTATACTGATTATAAAGCAACCTACTGATAGCGTCTCAATACTCTGATGAATCTGGAGAAGTAAAGAGAATTCGAACATTACTAAGAATTAATATTAATAATTTTGGAATATAAAATTACTCGGATCACTTTTTCATCTCATCCTCACGTAAATCATTGCAAGAAACTTATTCAAGAAAGCTGAATTCAAACCATAAAGCTAGAATTCAATTTAGTTTTATTATTATCATAATTTAAAATTTACTTCTATTAGTGTTTAAAAAAATTTCATAAATTACAGTATTCCATATCAATAATTGTATTCCCAGAAAAAATATTTTTAAAAAGAAATAAACAACATCCAGAATTAGATGTTGTTTACTAAATCAGATGCTGTTTATTATATGAATATATATAGCTATTCGGCACTGCAGATTTTAAACATCAACAATCCTCACGTTTGTGAAGATTGATGCTGTTGAAAGTCTAATTCTTTTTCACTAAGCTTTATTCTTACTCGTTGTTAAATTTTTGCATTTGACTGTGTACGTCTCTGAAAACGCAAATTCTTGAATTTCATTGAATTTTAAATGAAATTTAAACCAAAAAGTTGAAGAACATATACTTACTTAACAAGATGATATTTGTAAAAATAAAATTATTTGCAATTTCGCTTTCATTAAGGTTTTTGTTTTGGAATGAAGTCTTGCACATTCGAAAAACATCAAGTTTTGAAAAATGAAATGAGTGCCAGTCAAGAAGATGAAAGAATAATGGATTTAAATTATGTTATGATTATTGTCTATGAGACTACATTGAGGATTATTTTAATGAATACTCAAACATTAGAATATTTTAATTTGTATCAATTAATTTAAATGTAAAACTAATTACTACAGTTCTAAGCAATGAAATTGAAAGTTTCTCCAGCAGCCATGGCTGCATGAACTATGAGTTCTTTCATTGTCATGGTCAATTGCACGGGAAAATCAATTTTTTGCAGTTACTAAGAGCAAGAAAAGCGACTTCTTAGAGATGGAAGTCGAGTCGAGAATCGCTGCCGAGTGGATTTGAGAAAAACGCGAGAAAATTAAAGCTTTTGCTGGCATGAAGATAAATAAATGCGTGACTAGATAAACTGCAAAACAAATAGTAAAAAATGAATGAATGAATGAAATGGTTTGCTTCTTTTAATAGACTCAAAATCAATAAATCATAATGATAATATGATGAAGCACTTTTTGCAGAAATTGTGAAAACAGCAAGCATTTCATGAAAACAAAGTACTGCTCCAGAGAGAAGTGATTATGATAAGCCCGTTGCTTTGAAAACTATCCACTCAAACTTTGCTCTTCAAGCAAACACACGTGAGTTGTCGTGGGCTTGTGAAATTTTCGTTTTTTAAAATAGAGCAAGAATCATTTTTGGCAAATCTTTAACTTCATCATAGCTGTTAAATTAGTTGACAAAGATAGCAATTTCCTTTTATGTCAAGTCAAATTAATATTTTAAGTACGGAATAAACTTGATAGTCTCGTGAATTTTGCATAAAGTTAGTAAGCAACGATTTAATAAACCGAAAATGTATTATAGTAATTTGCAAAATTAACGGTAAATTAATTTTTTAAATGAATAGTAAAGTTATGCGCTTGTTTTGAAATGTTATGAACATACTAATAAAATGTATTAGAAGCGAAAATGGGACGAAACGAGAATGAAAAGAATAAAAAGTTAACGTAGTAATTCTTTAGCTTCATTAAAGAAGCAACACAAAATAGATGATGCTGATTTTGATTTTGTTGAAAACAACTGCTATCAATATTCGGCACTATTGACTGATCAGCTTAAAAATCAATTATTGTTTTTTTTTACTTGCTGAGTGTGAGTTAGATTGTACTAGGCGCGAGCCATTAATATTCTCTTGATCAATTTTGAGCCACACTTCTCTTCTTGGCCACTTTCTTTCCTTTGAGAGAAGGCTCTGATATAACATGAAAGACCTTTCTAGCCAACTCTCTGTCAAAATTTATTTCTAGTCCAATTTCAGAGTCTTCAAAGAACTTTTGAGCAAGTTCAAAGTTCATTGCGTTCATTGCTACTGATGAAAACACCGAAAAAAGCGAAGAAAAATGAAAAAAAGAATTCTTAAGAACTGTTTCAGTCCACAATTAGCGAGAGATTTCACTAGACTCTCTCTGCATTTTCAAAATTGAAAATTTTGCTTTAGTTTTAAAAATTTTGAACTTTAAATGCTGCTAATCTTTTACGCTTAAAGGCATTTTCTGTAAGTAAAAGACAAAACTAACTCATAAATATTTTTGGATACTAAATAATTCCACGCACAATCTGCTTGCTATCTTTGTATCTTTCAAAACTTTTCTCAAGTCTAAACAGAATATCACTTTCCTATTTATTTTGAATTTTACTTTCATAATACTTTTAAAGCCCAAATGTTGCATGAAGAGGATTAGAAGTAGCTAATGCCTTCTGAACTTCATTAAGCTAATAACAACGAAATTCGATATAAATTTTCTTTTTACCTTAATTGTACTTTAATTTATAACCTATGCATTAATGTATGTTGATGCTGATTTCTTAAATGAGAGTAAATTACGCCATTACCTAATTTAAATCAGTGCATTAATCTAATATGAGTAAAAAAGTTTACTTCAAAAAGCTGAAGAAGTCGATTACAAAGAAGCCCTGTGATTGTTTTACACATAGTGAGTGCTAAAGGGCACTTGGAGGTTAAAGCTCAAAAAGTAGTCTTTGTGGTCGTAAAGTGAGAGCTGATATTGTTGTCACTGTGACAGTATGCTTATAATGTAACGCGAATCGTTTTTCATACAACATACAGAAGTATTTTTTCTGTACGAATGCTATGTAAACAATTTGTTCACTATATAACAAAATAATGTATTAGTTAAAAGTTGCAGCACAATTTTGTATTGTTCATGAAATGAAAAAAAAATTATAGGTCTACTGTAATTTGTACTGTTATAATTTACTTTTTATTGCACTCTTTATTATCACTTTGAAACTATTATCACATCTGATAACACAAAAAGAGTCTCGAAGAATTTTCGTAAAAAGCCTGAAAATTTTGAACAAATGTAGTAAAAAAAATTTTTCTTGCTGAAAACAAATGCACATAAAGCTTTATCATTAATAATTACTTAAAGCATTTTTATTGCTGAAAAAACAATCTTTGACGTTCAAATAAAACATTGCCAGATATTGTAGGCAGCACTTTTATGCAATATGGCAATGCTGAATGTGGAAAACGTACACGTAAACTACTCGATTTATTATTTTTCGAACAAATTTTTGAAATACTTCAGGTAATAACAGAAGAAGGAATGTAAGTCATAGCAAATCATTCATATAGACTTTTTTTTTTAAAAGTATTAATTTCCTTTTTCACCAAACACCAATCACGTACACTAATTCAAACTTCTACTGGTTCCTTTTGACGGGTAACAAATTTTGTACAGTAATAAGTAAAAAAGCTTATATGACCAGATAATTTGAGTTCGACAAAATCATTAAGTTACTACAAATAGAGATAAATTAAAATTCCAAAACATTACTTACTAATTATTAGTGATAAATCAGAAATGTAGTAGACTTAGTATTTTCATTTCACTTAAAACATATTTCATTTTACATTTCTAATAATAATTTTTAAGATTTTCCAAGAAGCCTCAACATATTTTGTAAAATTGTGACATTAAACTTGATAATACAAAATTAATTCCCGGAAATGATAGAATAATTTGATAACCAGTTACCAGCACATACTAACTGAATGGCACTATCACACCACACTTTGAGAATCTCACTTTGCTATATTGCTCAGTTTCAAAGTCTAACTTTATTTTTATCTATTTAGAATAGAGATAATGACATCTTACAACGATTGTTTGCAATTTGAAAACAACAGCGGAACTTTGTTACTGGAAGACTACAGCATCAAAGAGTGTTACTTGGAATTAAGATTTATGGCAAGGGACTTGCTTGAATTGTAGAAGAAGTGGTCGTGGTTTATCAGTTTATATAAATTAATGAATTTTTGGCATTTCTAAATTGTTGGTAGTAAATTTACGATTTGACAACTTCTTATTGTTTGCTATGTTAAAAAATTGCGATTGTTTTTTGTCATTCTCTACGTTTATTATTTTGATCTCATTTATTCATAATATTACTTTGGATTAAACGTAGCACATCTAGGTCATTGGTTTTTTAGATAATGAATGGGGAGAGTTCTGATCAAGTTGTATGTAGTAACTGTGAAATAACATTAGTTCCAGCCGAAAATGTGTATTTACGATGTGAAAGTTGCCATGAACGTGGATTGATTGTGAATCTATGTGTTACCGTAAGTTTTTCGTTATCTTTATGCGATTTTAGAGCCAAGTTCAGTTTTTGAGTTAGGAATGAGCTATTTGTTAGGATTAGTAGACAAAAAGCAGGCAACATTTTGACTCTGTACTTCTTTTGAATTTATAATTTTTTTAAAATGTATGTGCTCCTACACTTTATTTAAAATGTTCTTTAAATTTTTGTTACTTGCAGTAGAAAAACTAAAATTGTGTTTGAATTTCTGTGGTTATATTAAAAATTCATGCATAATGATTATATTTTCTCTGTGATTACATCTAAATTCAAAGGCACAATGTGATCTCGAGTTTATATTTGCTTATTCTAGAGTCATGAGCGGCTGAAGTGATAGCAAAATATAATTCTGCTATATTTGTCATTCTGTGTTCATGATTTTTTTTCTGTTTTATAGTGTTTTCGAATGGGTGCAGAGTGCGGTCCTCACAAACGTGGACATGAGTTCATTATTGCAGATCGTAAAGGGCCCTCAATATTTCCAACAACTTCTGCCAACTGCTGGGGTTGGAAAGAAGACTTGAAATTAATTCAAGCAGTACGTAAGCATAAATTAGGCAATTGGTATGTTTTAAAAAGAGGAAAAATTTTGCTAATATTCTTGTGTTTTACTTTGTTAAATTTATCATTTTGCTACCGTTCATTTGTTACAGAAGGAGGAATAGTCCTTTAGCTCTTTTATAGTGAATGATAGATTATTTACTCAAGTCTTTTACATAATTTTATCTTATTCCAAACCAACAAAAATCCTAGCACTGTTGGTAATAGAAGAGTTAATAACATCGTTGATTAGACAATTTAAAAATTTTCTTGTTATGCATATTACCATTAAGGGAGGAAATTGCATCAGAGTTGTGTACTAATAAAACTGCTGAAGAAGCCAGAAAACATTTCGATCAGTTTTTCATACGCGGTGCCCTTGGTCGATATGCTGCTGGTGTCATTTCTTGGCAAGTTTTGTTTCGCTCAAAAGCGGATCGATGACTTTCCTCACTGGTTAATTGTAATTCATACTTTACTCGAAGCTATTCTGTCGCATTTTATCATTTGACGATAGAATTATTAATATTTTAGTGCTGTTCTGAAATTATGTACTTTTATTGTTTTTAATCTTCTAACCAATTTCTTTTTAGCTCAGTGTTTTTACTTTTAGGCCGTCTATTGATGATCATACTGATAAAAAAGAAACTTCACAGTCTGACTCACATTTAAGTAGCGGAAGACATGCAATAAATAGTTCAGATTATCAGTGTATGTTCTGTTATTAATTGATATTTATATCTTAGAGTGTAGAGTATATATGTAAATAATCTGCTTTGCAGATGTCACAGAATTTTTTCGAAACTGGACTGAACCTGTAAATTTGGACGATCCGAATTGGTTCAAGCAGTTTGAGGAGCCCTTAGTAAAGTTTAAGCGTGAATTTTATTCAGTGATTCCAAGTTCATCGAAGGATATTGACAGTGCTCTGCAAATCGTTCCTAAAACAAAAGAAAGTTCATGTTTGAAACCTATAACAATATCACCAGTTTCTGTTGAGTTTTTCAGAGTCAGTTGCCTTTTTTTTTCATTTTTATGCTTAAGTAATAAAACTCGTCAAATCTCATGTTAAAAATATTTATTCATTCATAAATCATTAGTCTTCTTAAGTTTTTCCTAAAATACGTGGATCAGGCGAAAAAGAAGAAAGCAGAAATATAATTCAAAAAGGTGATTTAAAAATTTTTCTTTGTTTTCAGGTAGATAGCCAAGGAAAACAGAAGCGATTACATTCTATGAGTGATTTTGATGAAGTAAGCACTTTGATTAAGAGTTAAGTGTATCAAATATTCCAACTTTTCTGCACGTTTTGTGATGCTTATAATTTTAGAGTGAAAACGAAAAGGCCACCAATTCAGATAGTAGTAATATTTGTGAAGATAAAGTTGATAGTCTTTCAACTGCAGTGAGCAGTAATGTGAATCCTTGTGCGAGTAGTGCCTTGCGAAATACAGAAGGAGAAACTGGTTTGTTACTCCATTGTTTTACTATTGAATAGTGTGCTTTTTTGCCATTTGTCATTATTCATTATATTTAAAACGATAACAGCAACGAATAATATAGTTTAGTTTTCAAAAGAATGTTCGTGTGTGGTTAAGATACCAAGAAAGGACGAGTTATGGAACGAGAGGTGATATGATTTGTGTTTTGGATATCACTGGAATCAAAATGTCTCTTCTTCCAAATTGGAGAGCGATTTTACTCAAAATTTCAGGTCCTGAAATATCCTATGGAAGAAAACCAATATTACGTTTGAAGCGTGTTGGGAGGAATTGGCGTGCAAAAAATGATGTAAATAAAAAAATATCGGAAGTATGTGGCTTGGTCATAATTTTTGAACAATTTTAGCAGTTTTTTAATATTAAGCATGTTTGATTTCAAACTTATTCAACTGAATTGCAGTATTAAATAATGTGTACTATTTTCGAAAAATACCATCTATAATTCAGCACTCTTTCAGTTAAGGATTTTTTTATTATTGGTTTTTGGAAATAATCATTTTTTTAGGAAATCTCTGTAGGAAAAACTGTAATCAAAATAAATGAGGACGTGAAAAACCAGTTGAGGAAAATTTACCCGGAACAGTTTTATGCAAGCACGTCAGTATTACCCTTTGGTGCTGAAGAACGCTCAAGACTAAAAGATGATGATCTTCAATTATTAGGGTACATGCCCGAACGCGAAGATTTTGAGCTAGTCTGTTATTTCAATTTCTTCATTCTTATTTTTTATTGACGAATTTGTAAAAAAATCTTCCTTATTTTTTGTAGAGAAACTTTTTTGCCAAAAATTTGATTCTAGCTATTTTTTTAAGCGAAGAAGTGTATGAAAAATGATAAAGTTCTGTTAGTAAACATATAAAACGAAAATTTGACTTGCAGGAATTCAATAACGATGCTGAAAAATTAATCAGTCGCTTAACATTGCAACCAGGAAGTGATAAAGATGAAGATAGAGCTTTTGAAGATGGTTAGTTCTTGATTAATTTTGTTTTTATTGGTTTCTTAATTTTTTGAATCACAAATATACACCGGGATCAGTATCCGAGAGCGGAATTTTTTAGCTGTAAAATTAACAAAAGTGGAGAAGTATATTCGAGTTTTGAAACAAAGAAAGGCGAAAAAAGCGGCAATCAGAGAATACGAGCTTGTAAATCAATTTTTTGACAAGATTAAAGTAATAATTTATGTATGTTGTAAGCTGAATATAAATTTAAACTAGGAAAAGTAAAGAAGAAGTCGATGTAGTAGGTCGAAAATTCCAATATCTCATTTTGATTTTCTTTTACTGTACTAATCCATAATTTGCCGGAAAAAAAATGCGGAGCTGAAATTTGAGTCATATATAATAATGCTATTTGATGGTATGTTTAGTTAACTATTAAGTGGGACAGATCAAAACAGAATGAGAATATATATATTAGAGATAACTGTTAGTATCGTAATTTATAGAAAATAGAAGAAACTCGCCGATCTGTTTTATATAATCAACAATCTTCGTCTTCAACATGTCAACAAGAACGGCTTCATTCATTTATGAAAAAAACCTGTCAAGTTGCAACAAAATCAGAACTACAACAGTTACTCAACGCAGTTACAGGTAATAAGGATGGTGACAGTTACGTTCAAAAACAACAAGAAAAAAAGAGGGCAGCTGAAGCATCCTTCCTTGTCTATTTTTGAGTATTACTAATAGATATTATTTTTTCAAACTCTTGAATATTTATTAAAATTCTTGAAGCAGTTTAGGCTATATCAACTTAAATGAAAAGATTATGAATTTGGAAAACCTCAAAGCAGACGGAGTAACAGATTTAAAAGGTTTTTTTGCTGTTTTCTTATTAGCAGTTTCTTGAAAAGTTCTCTAATATTGAATATTTCTTAGTTTACTGACCTTCTACTTGAAAATTGTGATTCATCGGTATGTCAGGTATCTAAAAGTAACTATTTTTTCTTAGTCTTTCTTTCAGTGTCCTGCAAATTAAAAAAAAATTTTTTTTTCCATAATTTCTGTCATGTTGGTCTAAAATTTTAGGACGAAATAAAGTTATCAGTGATGGATGGAAAAGTAAGCGTAGACGTCGTCCTCTTCATGCTAATGAAGTGCTCCGGAAGTAATTATATTTTTTCCAGCCAAATCTCAGTTTTATCATACAGACTTGTGTTAAATCTGTTGTAGTTGAAAAGTGAAGTTTGAAATGCTGTAATAATCTTCATTGATGTGAATAGAATGATTGATTCGTAATCCGATGTGGAGTAAATCACTCTTGTTTAGGTATTTAAAGAAATAGTTTAATTGCAAATTAAACTGATACAACATTGCTATATTCTGAAAACAAAAATTTTCGTTCTCAGAAAGGAAATCGCTTTTTAGGGCTCATTTGCGTTGGGAACGTTTCAAACGCTGGAGTATGCAACAGGCGGCTGAAAATGGGTCACTAGAGTCTGACGCTTAATTGATATTGGTATAATTAATTCATGATTTATTAGAAAAACCAAATGCTTTGAATGTGACGAGTTTGTTATTAAGTGCTTGTTATTTGCTGTTAATCACGCATGATTATTTTTACATTAAATGTCTACTAGACTAAATTAAAACTATATTATTGCACAATTGCACTCGTAGTATTTTGAATAATGGCTTATTTCCAGTGCCAAAATAAACTATTTGCTCAGTTTTAAAATTAATATTGTTAGGATCTGCTTGCTCAAATGTCAAAAACTTTTTGTTGACTGCCGATTGTTCCTTGCTGCAATAAATGTGCGTCTGCATTGTGTATTTTTTCTTTGATGTATGTAAATAATTGTCCATATAGCACATTTTCAATAGTCTGAAAAAATTTTTTTGTGTGATCACTCAAGTATATTCCGATGTACTATTTTTCATTTCCTAAATTTCTTTGTATTGTTCCATCTGTTCATTTCAGCTGTAGAGAAGTACCATTTGTATTGTGATCAGTGAGCTTTATTATTTTATATGCGGAAGCATTGTGGATTAATCTGAAATATGTTTCTCAGGTAGAAAATAGATGAAAATCCAGTCTTTGAAAAGTCTCTGGTCATTTCAAGTGAATAACCTTAGTGTACGTTAGGAATTGAAAGCAGGGAATAGTTGACATTTTTTATGCAAATCTGTTTAATCATTTCCTTCTGATTGTTCTTTTGATGGAAAAGTAACTTATGAGTGATTTATCTGGAATTGTCGAACTAGATTTTGCGAGATATTAATTTGGAGTACAGATTACTTTTTAAGCTTGCTTCAGAAAGTAGTGGAGAGTTTGATTTTATTTGAGATTTTTAAAATTAGCACAGGCTATTATTGAAAATTTACGGAGTTACTACGTTGGGCTTAGATAATGAGGGACGAACTATTGAGTGTGTTCGTATTTGGAAAAACCTTGCTTGGCTACCTGATGAGGATATTCAGAGAATGCAGTGCTTTGTGATGGGATATCCGATGATATTATAACGAAGTACTTGCATGTTAAGCGCAGTGAAATGGAGGATTTTAAGTGTAGCTAAACTAGCTGAGTCGGCTATTATCGCTACTCCCCTTTTTAAAATAGCAGTCTACACAAGTACTAACATTAACATGAAATAGTGGTATGACTCATCTTAAAGATTCTGATCAAACAAGCATTATTATTGAAGTGATGGGCTGGGCACATATGCGACATCAAGAATGGAAAATTAGTAGAGACAAACTAATTTGGCAATTAATCACTAATGTAGCCCATGTATATCTCACACAAAAAGTGCTCTGCCGCCTGCCAATTTCCGAGCAACAGCCACCTAACAAGGGACATTCAAAATGAGCTAAGTTAAGCCTATTACAGAGTTATACAAGGTTTACAAGAACCATAAACTGCAGGAATCGTTGCAAATAAAATCGTACTTTACAGGGATAATGAGTTTCCAATCTCTTTAATTGAAGTCATATCTGTAAATTCTCAGCAATTCTTATTCCACATTGCTCAAATTTATTTTCAAAATTTCAAAAATTATTCTGCAGAGCCTTATTAGAAAACTGGAATACTGAAGTCAAATTGATTTTTCGATAATTTTAAAGCATAAAAGGGTGTGATGGCAGCCGCGAAAGACCTTTAAAACTTTGCCTTCAATAATGTTTGTGCAAAAGATTTATTCTACACAAATAATTATCACTGAAGGTACTGTGATTCCTTTTCGAGGCCTGTTTACTTCGAGTTTGAGAAGACTGAAAAATTAATTGCAAGTAATTGTGCTTGAAATGGGTGTGGAAAGACTTAGTAGATCACTAAAAGAAACGTCGATGAAAAATAATAAGTGCTGGGTAACGCGATTTAGTGCAATAAATGCTTATCACAAAAAAGATTATGAGCAAAATATGTGCGATAAAAATGTAATGCTAGCCAGGAAAAGGTGTTAAGCACACAATAAGTTATCAGTGAGAAAATTATAAAACGAGCAGATTTCTGCAAGTCGTCGAGAGAAGTGTACAGCGTTCGATATGATTTGC